TGATGCTTTTTTTTTTTTTTTTCTCAAAAGCAATGAAGAATTTTATTAAGCATAAGCAAGCAAAAAGAGAGGACAAGGAGCCTCGTACAAGGAAAGAAATCAAAACAAAAATCGGGAAATAACAAGAAAAATCCAATCACTAAGGATGGCAAATAGCAGCCTAATCCCTAGAAATCAAGAAAAATGGAACTCCTTTAAAAGGAAGAGACACAAAAGCCCAAAACGAAGCCAAATATCCCGCCTTATCCCATAGAGATTCTGCATCTGACTCCTTTCCATCAAAGATCCGTACATTTCTCTCTAGCCAAATAGACCAAAAGATAGCTAAAACAATACAAGACCACAATGTTTTGGCTCTCTTATTGCAACCAAACCGTTCAAACCTAACAAGAAGCATGTGTGTGCACTCCCTCGGAGCAACCCAGTAATCATCACACAGACCGAAAAGACGCTGCCATAATAAAAGGGCCACCAGACAATGGAGAAATAAATGATCCAGTCTTCTCATTATAAGAAATCATAATCTGTAAATTTTCACCAAGCACTTGCACTTTTAAAGTTTCATTGGCCTTGTTTCAGCTAAATTTCTTGATCTCCCAAAGATAAACTGGCAATGATCCACATCAAAATGTTTCTCCATTAAAATTAGGACACTGAACGTATTAACATGCTGCTGAGAAACCCAAACCAAACAAACCGAAACATAATTATGTTATGACCATATATGTTATATTATATGTACCCAACAGTCAATAATTTTTTTTAAATGAAGCGGGCTAACAGACGGGCTTTTCAGGTGGCCTCTCACAGGCTAACAAGTTGGGCTAACGGGCAGGACTGAGTCCAACAAGCAGGCCCAGGTCTAAGCCTAAGTACCATTCAGGTTAGTCCAACCTGCCTTGGGCTGGGTTGCAGGCCTCCAGACCGAACGATTACTCTTACTAACAACTTAAGTTTTTAGGACTAGTAGTGATCTAACAGAGAAAAATATCACAAAGACCATACACGTTATAACTCTGGGCAAAGAAAAGATGCAATAGAAGAAACGCACGACATTGTAAAAAAATCCCACAATAAACTGTGAGACATGGCTACATCGTAAATCAGACGTGGCAACATACAATATTAGAAAGCATTGGCATTATACAAAATCCATAGATAGAAAACAAACAAAAGAAATAGCACCTTCGCATGGCAAATCTTCGTAATAGCCTCAACATGAAGGTTTTGAAGTTCTTCAAGAGAAGTGATATCGAGACCAGAAATATCATCTCCCTGAAATGAAGGAATTTTTTCTTTGGAATTATTGTTCATATAGAAAGAATTTCATAACTACTTGGGCTGACTGAGGAAACTGCAGGAATTTAGAGCTAACAGGAAAATTTGAATGTTTTGGTATAATTTTGGTAAGTTCAAAAATTGTGTACATGTACATAAATACTAAATACATTTCAAACTGAAGGTTATGTAATTGGATAAAAATGCTGAAAAAGTTGAGTAAATACATATAAAAATTCCAAATATTTTTTAACAGGAGTTCATGTCATATAATCACAAAACCTGGAAGGCACATACCTTCAATCTCAAAACCAAACTTTCTAGTTCTTTGCACCTTCTCCTTTCTCTGTGGTAATTAGCTTTTAATTCTTCAAATGTACTCTTCTCATTCATGTTTCCACATTTGTTGTCTTGTTCATATGGTTTTTTGGAAACACCATTAGATGAAGAAAATCTATTTCCAACTACTGTTTGCAAATTGTTAGAAACATGATCCCCCTGTGAAGAAATGTCCTCATAATTCATGCCAGACTTCCTCATCTCTGCAACTAGCACCCACATATTGGCCAGCTCATTTTCCAGATCTTCTTCACGACACTTTGCTTCATTAAGTCTTTTCCGCAGCTCATCTGCTATTTCATCACTCTCAGATAATGCGGTTACCAAAGAAGTTTCTTTTTGGTATCTTGTGTTAAGTTCATGCTGCAACTCCCCCACCAATACATTGTCGGGTTTTCTTGAGCATGCATCAGGTTGAGCATCATTGCCACTATTTTTCTTCACATCAAATGAAGCAGATCTTTGAAAGGAGTTAGATATACAACAAGCCTCCTTTGCAGCAGCCAGATCAGCAGTCAGTTTAGCATTTTGGTAAGTAAGTTTTGTCACTTCTTCAGCCAAGTTACGCAGCTCAACTGCTGCATCTGCAGCCAGCTCTTTTGCATAGGAAGCTTCCTCAGTCAGTTTTTCGCAGTGAATTTCAAGCTTGTCCTTTTCTTCAGTCATTTTCACCTTTTCTTGGCTCAGTGTCTCTATTTCAGCAGCCTAAGTCAAAATAATGAAAAGTATACTCATCTTTAGAAGCATAACATCACAACGATGTAGTACCACAACAATTACCAAAATGATAAGATAATGCTCAGGACAGAAACAAGTAATAGACATCCATAGCAGCGAAGGACAAGAAATGGTGAGTGTGTAGTAGGTAAGGAGTAGGTGAAGTGGAGGTGGTAGTGGTGTAGTGGGTTAGGTTTAGTGGAGTAGGTTTAAGTGGGTGAAGTAGGTGATAGGTTTTAACACTTTTTTTTCCTTTTTGTTTTTTTATTGGGTGTGCAACTAAACACGAACTATGCGAAACTTATCAAATTACCAATCCAATCCCAACAACTACCAGGGTTATCAAATAAGACCTTAATGTTGGTAGATCCCATGTATGTCTTTGCATTGCAAATAGTAATATTGTTCAAGAGGGATTCTCTGTTGTGATTGGTTCAGGGGTCTACATCAAGTTTTGTTTTGGCATGGTTTATGGTTCAATGATAAATCTTTGAAAGATGAGTTTCCTAGACTATTCTTGATTTTGTCTCAGAAATAATGATGTTCTTTTGTTTGATGGAAGCTTGAACAAGTGGTGTTTGCAATTCAGGAGGAGTTTATTTGTTTGGGAGAATGTCCTTTTGGATAATTTAATGAATACGATAAAAAGTTGAGGTGTAAGGAAAAGTTGGGCGGTGGAAAATGTGAGGATGGTTTTGGGTTGATACAAAATAATAATAAAATAAATGAGTGAAGAGAAAGGGACCAGAGAGACAGACAGAGTTTGTGGGCTATGTATCGGAACCAAGTCGATAAGGAAACCATCGCAGGTTGGAGGAGTGGATCTTCAAGGCGGATCTCGCAGCATGTATTATTGATGTAATATTGATTAATGTTATATTTATTGTAGAAATTTAATGTATAGAGAGAATAAATTGTATGTATTATTGATTGATTTATATTGATATCTATTACAATGATTCATGATTCCTATATATAGAAGAGGGTGAGTGTGTAGTAGGTAAGGAGTAGGTGAAGTGGAGGTGGTAGTGGTGTAGTGGGTTAGGTTTAGTGGAGTAGGTTTAAGTGGGTGAAGTAGGTGGAGAGTAGGTGGATTTTAACATATGCTTATGTACAAAAATTTGAATGTAAATCCAAGCTTTTCCCTACTCACTCTCCTCTCTTAGTTGTCAACTTAAAAACTCTTGGTTTAACAGGTCAGGAACTCTAACATAGAATGCATTGAGCGGGATTTTGTCCCCCCTCTTTCCACAAAGGAAAGAGAAGCCAATACCCTACAGGATGAGGCAGAGACAAATGACGGCTTCAATTATGAGAGTTTTACAAGATCGTCAGAAGAAGAAACAGCTAAAAAAGAAAGCAATTTAGATCTTGTTGAAAACTACTCTTCAGTGCCTGACATATCCGAGAAAGAGATTAAAGAGGAGATTTTAGAGAAAGCAGACTCAGAGGCTACAGTGGTGATAGAGGAAACAAGCTTAACGGAAGCTGAAGTAGAACACAAGATGCAGGTAGATAGTTCTAACATGGTTTCTGAAGAGAAGGGTCTATTAACAACTGAAACAAGTGAGATGGAGTCAAATGGCATAGATACCATTGCTAAAACTATAGAAACATCTAACTTGGGTGAGAATAAGGACATGGAGATCCCAACAGCAAGAAAGCATGGGGCCGATGAAGCAGCAGAAAAGATAGAGCCTGAAGGGAAGAATGAAACCTGTGATGCAATATCAAATACTGAAGATCAAAGAGAAATCGCCACTGTTGAGACATCCTTGGATGACATATCAGAACAGAACCTTCAGGCATCTTCCACGACATCATTGGAAGAACACAACTTCTTGACACCTGATGTGAGTGAGACAAGAGTTGAGGCTCCAGAGAAAGACAAAACCTTGTATGGCAACGCAGAAACTCCCATAGTTGCAGAGACAACAGAAGAAAATACAATGGAAAAGGAGGATGAGTCAACAAATCAAATAAACAATACCAATGTGGAGCCTATAGAAATTGAAAAGGAGAGTGCAAATGATGATGCTCAAAATGAGGATCAAGAGTCGTATGCTTCTCCTGAGATGAACAATGAAAAAAGTACATCTGAATCAGATATCAAAATTTTGAAGAGCGTAAGCACCAGTCAAATACCTGATTGCAGTGAGATTGGCAAATTGGAGACTGTAGAAGATGAAAAGTTGTCAGATACAGGATTAGAAAAGGATCAATCTGACTATGAAATGGCAGTCAGTGCAGACTCTAAGGGTGTTGAAGCGGATGGTGGATGCATAGAGACTGAAAAGGCTATCCAGGAAAAAGAGGATTCTGCTATGAACTTTGAAGAAAACTCAAAGGAAAGTGTTGAAATAAAGAAGCCCCAAGTTGAATTTGAGGCAGGAGGTCATAGTCATGGAACTGAGGATTCTGAAACCAAAAGTATCAGCACTCTTACAGAAAAGGTAAGAACAACTGACTCATTTCCCTCTTTTCTAAGACCTTTCACTTGTGCAATTAAATCGGATTGTTTACTTTTCCACAACCTTGTATGATTTGGAGAAGCAATGTGAATTCATTCACTGATGACACAAATGGATGGGCCACGGAAATTCAATTATCCAACTGAATCTAGCATTTGAACTGAGTTTCAAAGTACTTACATAGGATGTTACTCGCTTTCCTTACATTTTTTCACATTAAGCTTTTGTTAGATTTTGAAGAAGCAAAATAGTTGACGCACTATTTACAATCATCGTGTATTTATGCCACTATTTGCCCACCAACTTATCTATTCAGAAGCTATCTAGAAGAGCATTGATAAGAAATAGTTACATATTCAAGAACAAATCGGTGGACAAGATATTCAAGTAGGAAAAAACAAGATAAATATAGAGGTAGACCCCCAAAAAAATCTACAAAACCTAAGAGCAATTTTTATTGAAAAAGGCAATAGGTACATCATGAACTTCTGCATAATTTTTTCCCCATTATTTATTTCTATGGTTCTATTTACTCTATTGAACATATATCTGTCAAACAGGTGCCCAGGGAAATTGAGAGAGCTACTGAAAGTGAAATCATTGAAGAACAGACTACTGAAGAAGAAAGTTGCACTAAGGAACCTCAGATGATAGCTGTAGCAGATGAAACAATAAATGAGGTGAGCTTAACATTAATACAAAACAAATTATTTTATACATTTCCAACAAGCTGGCTGCATTCTTTTCTTCTTTTTATGATAATTAATCTGCAGTTTTTTCTGTCAAATAGATGAGAGACCTGGATCTAACACCCAGTCAGAGTCTTGAAACGACAGCTTCCAATGACAACACAGAAATGGTGAAATCAAAGCTTGCAGAAGATCTCAACCAGGAATCAGAAGCATCATCGATGAAAATAACAATGAAAGACGAAATCAAGAAGCCAATTGAGAAGCCTGTGAATGTCTCAAGCTTGGTATCTGAAGTGTCAGAAGAAAAACTTGAAGAAGAGAACATAGAAGACACAGAAAATTGTGATGACGACACTAATATTGCACCAACAGTGCTAACAGATGTAACAAACGTGGGAGAAGTTCAGCTAAATGACAAGCCTGTAAAAGCTCTTGATACTAGTTCAGATGCTAAGAGTCTAGAGCCAGCCACAATAGCTGACACTAGCCAACATGATGCAGAAGTTGACAGCATGAAGCTTGAGTCAGATGCAAATGATGTTGAAGCTGAAGGAACCAAAATTCCTGACTCAGTATCTGAGTCTAAAGATCAGGGTGTCAAAGAGATTTATGAGACAGATACAAGCTTAACAGTGGGAGAGACTGAGACAAATGAAATTGACAAACAAATCAAAGAAGTTCCTGAAGCATTATCCGAACCCCTAAACCAAGGTGTTGAAACAGCTAGCAATGATGAGATTATTGCACCAACAGTGGCAATAGAAGTAACAAGTGTGGGGAAAGTTCAGGTAAATGACGACCCTGTGAACGCCCTTGATACTAGTTCAGATGCTAAGAGTCTAGAGACAACCAAAGCGGCTGATATTATTCAACAGGATGAAGAAGTAGACAGCATGAGGCCTAAAGAGGCCTCTACCATGGTTTGCCAGCTTCCAATACACGAGCATGAGAAAGCAGGCAATGAAATAAGTGTAGAGAAGTCGGATGCAAATGATGATGAAGTTGAAGAACTCAAAATTTCTGACGCAGTACCTGATTCTAAAGATCAGTGTGTAAAAGAGTTTAACAAGACAGGGACAAGCCTAATTATGGGAGAGACTGATGCAAATGAAATTGAAAAACAAATCAGAGAAGTTCCTGAAGGATTATCTGAGCCCATAAATCAAGGTGTTGAAGCCGATAGAGATGATGAGATTACCCCTGGTCAGACTCTCCAAGCTGAGAAAATTGATGAGCAACTTCAGGAAGAGCAACTTCAGGTGTCATCCTCTTCCTTGATTTCCAAGGAACAGGACAGTGAAACTACAACCACAATCGAAAAGTCTGAAGATGGGAGCACAAAGAAAGATGATACACAAGTTGACAACTTGAAGCCTGTAGAAAGCTCTGGTATGGTGTCTGAACTTCCAATAACCAACTGTGAGAGTGCAAACAATGAAACTGTAGAGAAGTTAGATGCAGATGAAGTTGAAGTTGAAGAAACCAAAACTTTGGATGCAGTATCTGAGTCCAAAGATCAGGGTTTTGAAGAAATTCATGAGACTGGGACAAGCCAAACTACAGAAAATGCACTGACAGACAAAATAGAACAAGAAATTCAAGAAGCAAATGAAAAAATATCTGATCCCATATATCAAGGTGTTGACTCAGTTGTTGATGGTGAGACCTCTGATCATCCTCTACCACTTGGTAAGTTAGAAGATGAGAGCACAAAGGAAGATGAAACAGAAATTGACAACATCGAGCTTGTAGAAGCCACTGGCATGTTGTCGAAACTTCCAGCAATTGAACACAAGAATGCAGACATGAGTGCAACTATAGAAAAGTCAGATGCAAATGAAGTTCAAGTTGAAGAATCCAAAACTTCAGAAGCAATATCTGAGTCCAAAGTTCATGGTGTTGAAGAAATTCATGAGATTGGGCCAAGCCTGACTGTAGGAAACACTCATACAGACAAAGTGGAAGAAATCAAAGAAGCTCCTGATACAATATATAAACCCGCCTATCAATGTGTCGAAGCAGTCATTGATAGGGATATCACCATTAATAAAACTCTCCCAACTCAGAGAAATGAGCAACTTCAGGAACCATCCTCTGCCTTGCCCAAGGAACAGAACGATGAAACTCCTACCAATGTTGAGTTGATAAAAGATGAGAGCACAAAGAAAGATGAAACTCAACCGAATGAGAATGTAGCTTATTCCTTTCCAACAAGTATAACAGAAAAACCATGCCTGCAAGATGAAGGACCGAGGGAGCTTGATGTTTCGAATTTGGAGCTGAAAGCACAGGAGAGTCAAATTAAAGCACCGGAGGAAGAAAGCATAGCTCTAGAAGAAACTTCAACAGTAGAGCCTCAAGAATACATCCCTGAGATCAAATGTGCTGACTGTCCAATGGAATATGAGATTATACCTATACAGTGTAGTTCACAGGGGACTTTAAAAGACGAGGACATTATCAATTCAGGGGACTCAAACAAGGAATCTGATAATTTACCTCCTCCTTATGCAGCAGTCAAAAATCTTTTACAAGGAGAGGTGGGTGAAATGTGTGAGGAAGCCTCTAATCTCAAGTTTGAGAAGACTGCAAAGGTTCTTGAATCTGTGTCTGAAATTTACAGTCCTGAAGTACCCCCCACATCAGAAGGGATAGAAATCATAGAAGAGCAGCTCAAGGGAGTCATAACTGAAACGAGGGATGGCAAGAATCATAGTAAGGAAACAACTGAAGCAGATGAAGCCATAAAGAAAGATAATTCAAACGGAAAGGTAAGAGAAAATAAGAGTGCAGTCTTAAATTTTTTTGCTTCGGCCTAGCTGTTTTCTCCTATTTTTGTGCTCTGTTTTTGTCTATTTGAAGGCAATTGATGAAGAACACAAACAGATCACTGAGGAAAATCCAGTTGCCAGAAACTCTCACTCAGTGTCTCCTCATGAGGAAACAGTCACAAAGAGCAACCAAGAAGATGAATTAAGGGCAGAAGATTATCCAGGAAAAAGGACAAATATAACATTTGAGATCATAGAGAATGAAATTCAACATGAAGAGGTCAGAATACTAGAATTACACTTAAATTATGTCTTCCTTTTTGATTTCCTCTCTTTGTAACATTGAAGCTTTGTTTGTTATACAGTTGTTTGAAGAATCTGAAGAAGCCGGTGAAGACAAATACATTAAAGAAACGACCACAACTGAAGATAAAACTTTCAAAGATGGCAAAGTTTCAGTTGGGGATGGGACAGCTAATGTCAGCCCTCCAGAAGAAGCAGAGGATGGAAAGAATATTGAGAAAGTACCAAATAGATTAGACCATGAAAATCAGGGTGATGAAACAAACTTTGAAGATGCAGCAACAGAAGCAACAGCACCAAATAAAGAGGTTAGATAAAATTACCCTTCTTCCCTTCCATAGGAAAATTTTCCAACAAAAGTTTGAATTATCAGAAATCACATATATTCAAGACTTTCTCAGTGAGGTATCCACCAGAAATATCAATCTTATGCAGAGATATATCACTTCCTTGGAACAAAAAAGATACTTAGTGAAACATTAAGTTTTACAATCTGCAAAAGGCAAAGAACTTTATAGATCAAAGTGAAGCAATTAATGTAAGTAATAGAAGAGATTGAAATATGAAATAGAAGCTATATGTTCTATTCTCGTATATGTATAATTGCATTGGTTCAGTGGTTAAAATTCAGCCCAATAACCTTCAGGTTGTGGGTTGGAATCTCGGGGCAGCCACTTGGCATTAAATGATGTGTTTGCATCCAGTCCACCCTCCCCCCAATTCCCATTATTAGAGACTAAACTAAGAATACTTTTCCACATATCACATTTGGTTAAAACAGAATCAAAATTACCAGCCAAATGTCTAGAACAGAAATCAATATTATCTAACTTACTATGCAGAACGAACTTATCTTCAAGTGATCTATTTCACCATAAACACTACAACTAGGTTTACGATAACTAATTTCCACTTTTTCCAGTGGATTCTCCTGCATAAGTCGTCAGAAATAGGGTAATGGAGCAAAAACCACCAAAAACAAAAGCTTACAGTTCATATGCACCACACTTCATCGTCTCATCAACAATACGACTCCCCTCTCATCACTCCCCCACCCCCCACAGAGGAGAGAAGAAACACCTTCATTGGCTTAGTTTGCAATTGTTTGGAATTACAGTAATTTCTGACTATTGTATACAAAAATTACTGGATTTTTAAATTCCCTTTCAGAATTTATATGTCCTCCAGATTGAATGCCCTACTATATTTCTGGTAAAGTATGAACAATCATATATTGTCATAATAGGGGCCATATTCTTAAATGTCACATCCAAATTTCTTACGATAAATCCACGATTTCCTTCTTGTATAGTTTAAGCCCTCTGAGGTAATGTTGGTAAGCCATGAGAAGGACAGAACATGTGACGATGATGAGGAAACTGTGATGAGAAATGATGAACATCTACAAAACACAGACCTAGTTGTTCCGCCAGTTATTGATGCAGCAGCTGAAGAAGCACCAGATGAAAAAGTACGTGAAAATTTTGAGGAAGTCTCTGAACCTGCTCCTAAAGGCCCAACTCACAGAACCATTGAAACATATGAAGAGAACAAAGAAATTGCTAGTGCTGACACCAATAATTCAGAGAATCTCACGGACAATGACAAGCTGGAGAGCAGATTTCTTCAACCAGCATGTGAAGAAAGTGGTGTTAGAGAAGACAAGAATCTGAAAGAGCAAGAGGTTTCCTCAAATATACCAAGCATTTCATCTTGCGCAGCAACTTCACATGAAAAAATAGCAGATAAAGAGAGTGAGAAAACTGCAGATAAGAAAGATGGCTTTGTTTCTGACAAGCAAACAACAGAAGCAGTAGGCATACTAGAACAAGAAAAGAGCATTCAATTTGAGGAGGAGCACACAAAGGATGAGGTAAGCATAACTTCTCTAGAAATAATAAAGTCGCAAAATGAGGCCCCATAGACAGAATTTGACATTTTGTCATTTTTGCAGGAGCCAGTAGAGCTGTCAACCATGGGAAATGAGAGGAAGCTTGATGAAACCAAGATTCACAGTAAAACCACTACAAATGGAGATGAAGAAACTCAATACCAAAATGAGAAACCTAATGTTTTGTCTCATATCAAGGATTCAAGCAGAGAGGTATCACATGAAAAGGGAATAATGGATCTTGACAAAGTCAATCAAATCACTGAAGGAACACAAGATCTTGAGAAAACCTCTATTGCCATATCCCACGAGCAGATTGCAAGAAGAGCAAATACAACTGAGAGTGCAGAAACTACAAATTCAACTGCCAGCAAAGATATTCCACAAATGCATGATGACCCAACAACAAAAATCTTCCAGAATCCTGAGATCGAAGATTTAAAAGCTGGATATGCTTCAGGGTTTGAACCAGAAGCAACAGGAGTGGAATGTGGAGAAGAGAAAAGAATGGGTGAAGAATCTGAAGAAACAACAGAAAAGTCTGTAATGATAGAGTCAGCTGAGTTTTCATTATCTGACTTCATGCATGGATCCAGAAAACAAACCTTGCCAGTGGTTGAACACTTGACGGAAGAGAGAGAATTGGCGGGCAACAAGGAGGAACCACAAACTGAGTCAGCAGAAAGAGTTCAAGTTGAAGAAACAAAAACAGAAGAAGGGAAAGATGAATATGAGGAAGGAGATGAACACAAAAGAGCAGACTCTGGCTCTGATGCTCCAGTCATGGTAGAAGCCTCGACAGATACGGATGTCAAAATTGTACATAAGAAACATCACAATATACTTTCAGGTGTTGGGTCAAAGGTTAAACATTCACTTGCCAAGATGAAGAAAGCTATAACTGGCAAGTCTTCTCACCCAAAAACACCATCAGCAGTAAAATAACAAACTAGCTGGTCTGCGCTAGTTAAAAATCACATGAAGGCTGGTTCTTCACAACACAATTAATGTAGAAAGGGCTTGTTTCTATTTTCACTTTGTAACATATGAGTGTGGTGTGCATTTGTCCAGCTTGAGTAAGTTCAGAATTAGCACTTGTATAAAGTAAGTTACACAGTTATCCGATTGCAATATATCGTCTTTTTTCATAATGCAGGGTCTATTATATACCCAGTCACTTACAAGATATATAGAAAACCAAAGGCCTATATACCTTTGTCAATAATTATAGGTCATAAGGGAAAATGTCAATAGAAATCTTAAAATGTAAGAAAAATGGCCAAAGTTGTAACGAATTGCAGATTCTGGAATCCTAACAAAAATATGAAAGAAGCATGAGCAATGGACAAGTAGAAAAAACTAGAAAAGAATAAAATGATTCAAGCCTTCTGGGCTGGAAAAAATGGGGAGGCATTTATAAGCACAACAGTATCAGCAAATGTATATATACTCAGGATACTGAAGCCAAGTTTGGCAGCAATGCAAGATTCACTTATAGACATCAAGTGGTGATTGTTGTTGGACTGTGTCCTACATCGCCTAGAATTGCCCCATCTGTGCTGGTTATAAGGCTCCAGTTTCCCTCTCCTTAATACCTAGGTTTTAAGGGGAAGTGTGGGCTGGGTTTTTTAATTTGGTATCAAAGCTTGGTTGGGCCTGTGATTTGTGTGCCGTTTATTCAGCTACTGTATGTTGTGGTCCAGTAGGGTGTGTTGGAATGTATCCCACATCGCCTGGAATTGCCCTATCTATACTGCTTATAACGTTCTAGTTTCTCTCTCTCCTTAATACCTTATACATAAGCAGATTACAAGGGCAATAAAACCAAACAAAAATTCTCTAAATTAAAAAAATTCAACGGTACACCAGTTTCTCTGCTCCAAAATTTGAAAAAATCCAAATGGTACAGTAATGTAAAGTTCAACATACTACACAGTTGAAGTTTTAAGCATTAAATACATGAAAGATATCCATTTGTGTAAAATTATATATACCAACTTCATCAGTGTCAAATGTTTTCTCTCCAGGATAATTCTCATTATATATTATCTTACAAATATGTCTAATCCACAGATTTTGAGGGACAATCAGGAAGAAAGAGAAAAGTCATATTCCAAGAACTTTGCAAAAAAGAACCATCATACTATCTCTCTAACTCAGTAAAATAGCATGCTGTCTTCTCTTCTCTAGTACTTCTAACAGACTATAATATCAAGTACACCACATCAAACCGACTACAAATACGCTCACAACATCAATTTGCTAATCTCCGTGATGATCATATTTAGTAGAAATTCCATGAAGTATGCTCATGTAATCTCAAACCTATCACCCTTCTTAGCCTACTAAAGATGCCAAACATAATACAACATTCAAGTGCTACATTCAAGAAGCAAGTTCAAATCCATCATAGTCACTTTACTGCAGCAATAGATGTCATTGACAATTTGGCATACAAAACACAACTTATATACACTAACAATAGCAAATTCCTATAAAATATTTGGTATCTGTTGATATTTGTACAAAATAATCTACTGAATTTTAAGAAGCACCAACTATCTAGAAATGATTATAATCATATACAGTATCCCTTTCATAGTACATGCCATTTAATCCAGTTTTATAGTCTAATGCCACCAGTGTCGCTTAAACTACTAAGGCTCGAATGATACGATCCCTCCGTCACCCCACCCTAGAATGAAAGGGGTGATCTCGTAGTTCTTAGAAGGCCATAAAACACAAATCAAATCCACTTGATTTCAAACAAAACAACAAAAAGGCCACATTTTGACGTTATTGTAATACAATATGGCCAATACAAACTCCCAATAATTGGTTATCATATTCTTCGAAGTGAGTTGTGTATTATACCTTGATTTTAAAAGAAAAAATAGTTAATTATTTGTGTATTAATAGCCATTATGATCATTCTGAAGCTCATCATTCATAGTAACGACTTAAAATTTCAAGGGCAAATTATCAACACCCTAGAGGTTTGACAAAAATACGGATTGCTGAGGTTTGAAAATTTACAAATTAAATTTGTTATGCAAATATAAATCTCAGGGAGCAATTTGTTATGCAAATATAAACTTCAAGGGGCGGATGTAATTTCTCCAACCTCAGGGAATACGTAAGTGTTCGTAATTTGCCCAAATTTCAAACTAAAACAATTGGAGCAATGGTGTGCACCAACAAATACAAAAATAAGTTCGATTTTCTTCATAGAAACTATCAACCTATGTTACACGGACTCTTCAAAATAGATCAAATACCTGTGTCGGACACCCGACACTCGGACAAGAGTATGGGATATGTGTCAGATACTTTTCAACGGATACTTCTTATATAATTGTATATAACACAATTATTATATGTGCATATTATTGTATAATTACTATAAATGTCATTTTAACACTATAAGTTACATATAGTACCATTTTATTTCACATATTAGATTAAAAATATAAAAATATAATATTTTTTTTCCGAGTTCACGTACCCTTAAATTTAAGATTTAATAAGTCCGACCTGTAGATACATACCCGCACCCGACACCCATACCTGAGTCTACGTAACATAGCTATCAACTCAAGTAGGCAACATTAATATTCGAAACGATTAAAACAAAAACTGAAAACAATGAAGCGAATCGGCTAATTAAAATTGATAAATTGCAAATCACAAGGAAATTAGCATATAAGAACAGAAAATGAATATATAAAAAAAATGCTTAATTTACTCTTTTGAGTACATACATGTAGAGAGAGACGCATTGGATTCTTGATATAAGAAAATTTCGAGCATTCATGGTAACGAATAGGCGTAATTCAACAACTGTGCAAGTCTGTGTTAGAATTTGAAAGTGAAAAGCTAGACAGCAGCACAAGGTCGAATGCACAGTGACGATCGCAATTCGCGCTACAAAGCGCTAAAAGAGTGGAATTCTCTCATTCATCTCTCTTCTTTAACTCCCTACTTGCTAAGCCATTGGACCCACTTTTGGATTCGATTTGGATGATTAGAATTGTTCATATTTTAAGATTTCTTGAGTATATCTATAAAAAAATCAAATTGATCAAATATTAAAAAATACAATTGAACTACAAATCATTTTTTTTTAAAAATTAATAAACAGTTTTTCGTATGATATACTAACAAATCTTAAAATGTCAACGTTCAATGGGCTCAATGGCTTAGAAAGAAGGAAGTTAAGGAGAGAGATATGAAAGAGAGAATCTTGATTCAAAAGAGTGGTGCGGTGTTCCCGTATTATTAGCAGTGTGTTTGGCAGCCGAGAAAATAAAAAAAGAAAGGAGGCTGAAGCTGGTGGCTTCCGGCAGTCCTTTTAAGTTTGCTAAACATCTTTTTTTTAAAAAAAATTATCTCCCAAATTTAAGATATTTCTATGAATATCAAAGTAATTTTTATTTGTATTTAAAAAAAATATATCATTTCAAAATTAATTTATTATAAAATTCAGTAAAATTATATATTTAAATACACATTTTTTTTTTATAAATAAGGTGGATATTTTGAAAAAAATACCTGAATTTGAAAATTAATTGTACTAAAAAAAAGTTTGATAAATACAAAATTGCTGTTTTATGTACAAAAATATATTTTTAAGTGTAGTATTATTAAAATTATGCCATTCCCTTCTCTCTCTCAAGCACTTTTGTTGCCTTTAAATATTATTATTTTTCAAGATTGTACGTTTTGTCCACTGATTATTGTCATGTTGTGTTGATTATATTTGAGTATTATAAAGGGTTATTTTTCAAGATTGTAAGTTTTGTCCACTGATTATTGTCATGTTGTGTTGATTATATTTGAGTATTATAAAGGGTTGTTTGGGATGATCTAAACAAGTATATGAGTTGGGTTTGAAGTGATGTGTTAGAGATGTAATATGACTTCAATAAAATGATGTGACTTAAATAGAATAATGACTTTTTGACTTTTTTCAAATATGCCAAACTTGGCCCAAAAAATATGTAATTAGAAACCACATTTTAAGTTTTCTAATTTAAGGCATAATTATATGTAGAAAGAAATTTGTTAATATTTAAGAAATAAAAATAACTATAAAAATATTATAACTAGTCAATCTATTTGTTGAAAGGCACCGTTAGCAATCACATTTCAAAAATGAATCACAAAACACCCCTCCAGTTTTAAAAAGCCCCATGAAAGAACCTTGGAATGAGATTTTTATTCCACCTATATTCTTATCATACAAACAGAACCTACACCCCATGCCACCTGGCATGCATAGTAAACTAGAAACCTAGAATGAGAAATATTAAATAGGTTTATCTGAAAAAATAAAGTACAGGAACCATAACAAATTAACATCAGGAATTCAAATACTTGGTACATCTCCCATTTTTTATCTTTATTTTTATTTTTTTGAACTGTTGGTACATCTCCCATGAACAACACAAACATGCATATATCGGGAAAAAACTGTAGAGGAAGCATGGAAGACAATAAAGGCCGCTTTATCTGAAAAATTACCGATTCAAACAGCAAAATTTTTTAGCCAATTACAAATCTCAATTGGCAGTGTTCCAGTTGATTTACAGTACAGCAAGAATAAGTAAAAGAACAAATAAGCAACACTTTCAACTTTCAACCAGATATCATGTGTTGTAAAGATTAGCAACAATACTCAGGTCATCGAGGTATCTGCATAGCTTCAAATTTACTCCGATTTCTTTGGTTCAATTCTTTTTTTCCTTTCCTTGAGAAGACCAACACGAGCACGCTTCGCCTCTTGGCCTATCTGTAGAGCAGAAAATGATGTTCAATAGCCACACCAGACATAAAAGTCCAACGTTTATTTTTCAATGATAATGCAGGTGTACATTCATATATTTCAAGGGTAATGACACTCCACAACTAAATAAAATTCCTCAATCATGAAGCAAAACACCACTGCCGAGCCCGATAAAGCTCATTACTCATGGTCCAAAAATTCAATCATTAGAAGCTCAATATCATTAGCAGTTTAAAAATTTTGTATAGGGTATACAAGGAACCAAAAGCTATATAAAAGTAGTGGGCGTTAAGTGGCAAAAATTACAAATGCATTCCCCACTTGCCCCTGCCCACCTCAAGAATGTTACAAATAGAAGCCAAATATTAAGAGTAGAGATACAATCACACCCACGCCCAAACACACACCCACAGTGTTGTGTGTGTGTGTGTGTGTGTGGTTGCGGGGCGGGGCGGGGGTGCACAGTACAAAACCTTACAACTTTTTGGCCAAGTTGATAAGTCGGGCTTTGGCATTTTAAAAGAAATTCAGAGGTAGTAGATACCAGTTATAGTCTTTCAAACAGCAAAAAATTCAGATGTGTTTGGTAACGTTTACGTTTTCAATTTATATTTACAAAAATTTTATAAATTGATTTTTGTTTATTTTTAGAAAAACATAAACAACAAAAGCGTTTGGTAATTGACAAAATGTTTAAAAAAATTTAAAAATATAAAAGTGTGAGAAATGGCAAGTGGTGGCAAGTTGCGGCGGAAGACGGTGGTGGAAAGTGGTGACGATGGGTGGTGGGTAGCTGGTAGTGGTGGGTGGCGGCGGGTGGGTGGTGGTGGTGGTGGTGGGTGTGAGTGGTAGGTCTTATTCATTGGGCGTTAGCTCACTCTTATTTATATGTATGTAGGTGAGCAAAGAGATGTCCAAACCCAACACACGAACACGTAAATTTTTAAAAAAATGCAGGACACGACACTCGGGGACACATACAAAAAAAAAATTATATATTTTATTATATGTGATTTGTAAATATTTAATATGTATTTTATTATATCAAATATTTAACTTTATCAAATTTATCAACTTTAGGTATGTCATTTTAGTAAAAAAATAGTTCTCAGTGTATCCTTAACGCATCCTTAGTGTGTCCCCAATGTGTCCCTACGAGTCCACAGCGTGTCCGTAACGTGTCCCAGGTATCCAAGCGTGTCCGACACTTGTACGTGACCTTCGGAGAGGTGACCATGCTTCACAGATGGTAACCATTAGACACATTAACTAAGACAGCCAAACGCTTCAGAATTGGAAAGAAGAAACAACAAAAACAATTCCAATTTAATAATTAACCACAAAATTATATGCAATTTGTTGTTATGATAAAAAGAAATACAAGCAAATACCGCATGCCATGAGGAATCGCAACAAAAAGGCAGCATAATATAATCAATAACTTTACCTTCATGGCTTCAAGAAGTCCCCTCTTTTTACGTGACATCACAACCTTCTCAATATTGGCATGATCCTTCTCAACTTGTTGCAAATCAGATAGAGATTTTTCCCCAGCCTCCATGTCCTCGGCAGAGTTTTGCTTATTCGCATTTGAGACAGAAGAGTACTGGACACCTTGAAGTTCCATCTTTAATTCATCATGATACTGCTTCTCAAGAATTGACATCTGCATCCATCCCAAAAATTTGAGTGTCAAAACAATAGGTGAAAAATGATTAACTTCTGTGGAAGAACTAAAACAGCAAAATATTTAATTATTTTAATACTGGAAATACTCAAGTGATTGTACAGAACATTCATTTTTTATCAAGGAAGAATTTGTTCTATCCTCCTCAAGATCTAGTTAAAATATTTTGCATTATTATATCAAAACAATCAGGTTTTTAATAATATTTCTGACATATAATTGGTGTCCAGTTGGGCTGGCACATAACCACCAAATCCACCCATGAACATGTTTTCAATTAATGGGTAGAGTTGCAGATAACAGTATGATCTATTTGGCCTTCACGCTTAACATTCCAGTTAGGTAACATCCGCAAGAAGATTGTACCTTCCGTTTTCTTTCGGCGGCTTCAATAGCTTCTGTTCGGCTGATAATACCTTCAGCCAGTAAATTTTGGGGATCGTCTAAGTCTTCTTTCCCAAGACCTGGCATTGGAAGGACTTCTTTTCTTGCAGCAGCCTGCAACCTTCTGATGGTCTCTGCATACTCAGGAACATAACCTTCTGCCTCATTGTCAACAAACGGTGATAAATGTGGTGGAGGAACCCTGTTGACACACCCCACAAAAAATTGATTACTAGAACTTCAAAAGTTGGATTCTGGTGTGTCAATTGACATCTGACATATGTCAATGGTAACAGTGAACTTGCCCATGCATCATTCGATGTTTCCCTTTATTTTATTGGATCATTCAATGTTTTCCTCAGTTTTCATAATTATGGATACACAATCTATTAAGACAAGCATCGGAAAAGCAAATTATGGTTTACCATTCTACTTTAGTTAAGGATAAGAGTGATCAGATGTAGGAACATTTGTACAAGCAAAAAATAGAATCAGATTGTACATCTCCGAAAATTTACCTTCCCCACAAATAGTCCTCAACTGGCAATATGATCCGTGCATTTACACAATCGTAGACCCACTGCGGCTGAACATATTCTCTGGAAAGGAACCTATGTCCCTGTGTTGGCCTGTCAACAATCTGCACAAATTAAAATGACCATTCAACAATGTGTCTCTGTTCAGAATAAAAATTCAACAAATGGATCATCTCTACATTCTATCACTTCAAGCAGCAAATTACAGCAGCATGAATCATAGGGTTCTGACAATGTCAAAAAACTTATACAGGACAAGAAACTACCAATAACAATCATGCACAAGTGGAACTGAACTAAGGTGTCAAAGATGACAATCCCACACGTGGAACTGACCAAATGTATCCAAGATCGAAAGATGAAATTTACAACTCGTAACACATTGCTGACATAACAATCATGGGTTGGAAACACAATGGACAGATAGTCTAGGACGTGCTTCTTTATTCTTCTAATAAGGAAATGAGCAGTACTTTCAAAGAAAAACATAGAACAAGGTTTTTCAATATTTCATCCAAACATAGCATTACCAGAAATATAAGTTTCACTTTTTAGTTATTTATTTATATTTTTTGAACAAGTAAAAGATATAACTAAAGAATGCCAAACGGCATGCACACATATACATGCAAAGTACATATTCCCGAAATGTCTATTAAGGAGAGAATAGAAGTGAAAATAAGTAAGGATTCTACTCAACATAAGAGAAGCAAGGTAAGCAAGAGCGAGGGGTTTTAGAAATCAATCAATTTTTGAGCCATACAATATTTAAGAAACTTGGTAATACCAATTACAATTAGTGACATGAAGGGCATTTCAATATACTATGCAGAAGAAGAGGAAATGGATAAAATGAAATCATGAGAAAGGTATGGTCCCCAAAATATGAAGTTTTGCATCATTGGAAATACCTTTACATCACAAGATTATGTTTAGCCACTCCAAAATAAAGAAGCTCGGCACAGATAAGTGAGTAGAATTAGGCATTAAATTTTACTTCCTAAGAATGATCCTGGTCACATGCAATCAACGAGGTTTAAATATATTATCAGCATCTGTGAAAATGATTCACTAATGCCATGTTCATCTGGCTTCAGATGGGTCAGCACATCCACAGGCAAGCAGTATGACTGGCAAGTCAAAAGACAGCCTTCCCTGCACCTATTGGATAATAGTGCCATGACGGTGTAACAGCAAGCTTAGTTTCCATTTGAAACTGGAATTCGTATAAATATATGCATTCCCATAAGTGTGTGCAAAGTGAAAGACCTGATGAGTAATGCTCTGGTCAGATTCGTTAAATGGAGACACTTCCCCCTCCCAAGAAACCACACCACCAAAAGCAGGTATAATTGGTGTCCAGTTGGGCTGGCACATAACCACCAAATCCACCCATGAACATGTTTTCAATTAATGGGTAGAGTTGCAGATAACAGTACCTGAACAGAGAAACAATATTCTGTTAACAATATGAAGAAATAAGTGAAACCATATTACTGCCATGATTTGAAGAAAAAAGGACGTATGCTGCTCTTCAACCCAGTCAAGTGTTGAACATGATAAGCAACTCCTTGTCCAACAAATAGAGCAAAGTCCCTCCCAAATATTATTCCCAAATAGTACAATTTTAGATTTATTCAGATGGAAAGGTCATATCCTGTTCAAAAGGCTCCCCCACTTACAGCAGGGCCTAGCAGAGGTAAAATAGGTAAGCAACCTTCCCACACTTGAGCCACAATGTTGAAAGGCTGATTCCCGTGAGTCTGTGGCTCGAATTTGAGCCACAATGTTGAGGGTAGAAAGCAGTTGTCATCACGCTAGGTCACAACCGCTAAGGCTCTATTCAGGTGCAGACAACAAAAATACGAGCATATTGTAAATAATTAACCTCACCTCTCGACTCAAGAAGAATTTCATATTCTTAAAGAGAGTTTTACACTCCTTTGTTTCTTCATCATCTTCATCTTCGTCAGGAGCATCTTCGACCAGGTGCATTAATGCACCAGGTTCATTAGAAGGAAGTTGATGTTGAAGCTGGGCGAGCCTAAGTTCAGACTCTTCAAGCTCTGTCCCATTTTCCTGGGCCTCAGCTTGCTCAGATCCAGATGAACTGGCAGCTTGAGATTCTAGTGCTGGTGCTTTAGAATTAGAATCTAAGTATCTTGATAATGCATAAAGATCTGCGAAACACCAAAAGTGTCAAATACTATCTTTATCATTAATTCCACACATACTACCCTAAAACATACAATTCCAATCTACTCAACAAAACCTAGGTCCAACTACAAGAAACTGTAGGCGTATCATGAAAAAAAAAAATTGAGTTAGACATACATGTTCAAGTTGCTAAACAACTATGAGTCTAACTCAAGAAGTTGTTCAGTAGAAGCACAGGAAAAGAGAAATACCATACCTGCTGCTAAAGCTTCCAGCTGAGGATCAAGAATGGGTGGATACTTCACATTTATTGAATGATAAAGTTTGAAGTTCACAAAAGCAAGAAGAGTCTGCATCCAACGAAGAAACATAGCAATGTCCACATCAACAATTAATTCCATTGTGCTGGTTGGTAATTCTTTTACAAAAAGAGTACAAAAATATTGATAGAAGTTCAAGCCTGGAAAAGGCTAATTAGCCAATGTCATTATTCTATCTGTGCTTTCTCTTTGATTGGTGCCTAGCTCTGGCATCCATTTTACAAGGGTGCCAAACCACTTCTTTTAACAAAATAACCACTCGGAATAAAATGTATAGTCTCTCATTTTATTAAAGGGAACTAAGCAAGTAATGGCCAGCAAAAAGCCTAATTTCCGCTTTAACACGAAAATTCAAAACAATAGCAAAGAGGAAAATATAAAAGTTAAAACATAGAGAATACTAACCTCATAAAATTCCAAAAAAGTAAGCATGATATTGTAATCAACAACGTCGGGCAAGACTTGCTGCAATGCATGAGGAGTTAACCAAGTGATCTTTTGCCCCTCAACCTCAGCCTATAAACATTAATGACAAAAACATGGTAAGGCAGATAAAATTTCCATGTTTTATCATAATACTTAACAACAGAAATTCATATCACATAGCCATAATACCTGGTAATATATGCCTTTTACAGATATGAATGTTTTCCGTAATTTATGAGTGCGAGATACATAGGCCTGCCATTCATGGCTCAACCTAATCCAGAGCAGGAAACAAAATCAATAAGACAAATATGCGAATTCAACTAGTCACATATGCCAGAATCAAGAGATAGGAATTACATATTCAAAAACCATGTCAACTTAAAAAAAATACGCCAACACACTAGTTTACAAACAAATGTAAAGTGTCAACCTTCGACAATTATGGATACGCTTCACATCAATCTTATCCCTCTCAATAGCAGGTAATGCAGCGAAAAGATGTACCATGGTGAGACAGTCATCCAAATCCCTTAATGCATCAATGAAACTAGGGTACCTAAAGCGCCAAGCATAATAAAAATTGTCAATCAAATACTCCCTATATACAAGTGCTCAGAAAGCTGCATCATCAAAAAAGACACAATAGAATAGCCATACCTCTCTCTAATAAGCATGTCAAGGGTGTAAGTAGGTTTGCGAGTCAATAGACGTTCAGCAAGATCCCTGTTCTTCTTTGACAAAGCTTTCTTTACTTTCTTTTCATATGCCCTCATATCTCTAAACTTCTCAAGTAATGGCTCATGCTTAAGAAACATAACATCTTTCATGTGATAATAAGTGTGGTGATTTCCTTTCACCTTCTTCTTCGGTTCCCGGGGAAAGATACCTTTGAGAATGCATAATCTCCTACAAATTTTGAATCAACAATAGAAAAATAAGTGCACAGTGTCCAACGCCTTTTTCTTTCCTTTTTGGCAATCCAAATTCCAAAATTTTCAAATAAAATCAGAAACGTACATATATGCATAGAAACACCTCTTTTTTTTCAATAAGTAACAAGAAGCAGTCACACTAGTATCTCGAAACAAAAATGGTTCCGAAATTAACCAGCTGGAGCAAAAGTTCATCCCCACGTGAGCTGAGGGAAAACTGTACAAAATGTAAATAAACATATTCTATGTGACTGCAAATGGTTAAGTTCCAGCACTAGTCAATATTTTCTTTTTTGGGTCATGCTAACCACCGCCGACTAGGTGTGCTTTCGTGAAGAACCAAGTAATGCAAAAAAGTAGGAATTTCAATACATAATTCACATATTCTCATACACTTCTATGTATTGTATATAGTTTTTTTGCATATTTCAATATACTTTTTACCCATATTCCAATATGAACCAATGTGAGGTGGTTACATTTCCCTTATTTTTTAAATGGATACAATTCTACTAGTCTTATGGATCTTTCTGGAAAGATAAGAAAATGGTTTCAATTTCATCAATTTTCATTTGGGCAAATTACAAACACCCCTCGAGGTTTGGTGAAAATACAGATTCTCCTTAGGTTTGAGAAATTACATCCCGCCCCATGAGGTTTATATTTTCATAACAAATTGCCCCTGAGGTTTTTATTTTCATACAGATTCCCCCTTAATTTTTCCTAATTTGTTATGAAAATTTGACCCTGTGGAGGCAATTTGTAATTTCTCAAACCTCAGGCGAGGGGGTGTTTGTAATTTGCCCTTTTCATTTTTATTCTCTTTTCAGCAGGTTTCTCAGCAGCCAATCACAGCATACTTTAGCACAAAGCACAGAGAACCAAAACAAATGCATACAGAGATAGAGAGAGAGAGATTGACCTGAAAACGGGCAGACTAACTTGGAGGTGCTTAACTGCTTGTGATCTGGTAATGTATCTTGCAGCGTTTCCTTCTTTTTTCTTTCCCTGTAGATCAAAACAACGAAATTGATTAATGTAAAGCGTGAAAACTTGAGATCTTTACTGGGGATTATTAAGAAGAAGACATAGTCGTCAGTTTAAACTTACTGGAGGTCGGTAATGCTTCGGCATGGCTAATTTACAGAGAGTTTTCGAAGGTCAGAGATGAGAGAGGAGCGAGCGAGCTAGGGTTTTTGTTAGGGTTGAGTTGCTGAAACAAGAATGAAAAACCCTAGATATTTCATAATGTGATGGGTCGGGTCGGTTAATACAAGTGTTTCGGCCTTGGGCCTTTGCGACATTTTCCTTTCTTTTCCTGTCGGACTCAAAAGCTTAAAAATATGGGCTGAACAGGCCCAACTTTTCTACAAAGCAATGCAAAGTTGTCCCAAACATTTTTAGCCCAAATATTATGTAATTGGGTTGGAGCAGGTAACATCCCATCCTCCATCCGTCTAAAATTAGACAGATTAAAAAAAATCAATTCACATCCATCCACCGGTTTGGTGGATGCGGATTGAGTAAACTGTGCGAGTTGGCGGATAAATACAATCGATTTAGCGATTTAAATTTTACAAATTTTGAACATTTTTTAAAATCATAATTCGTAAAAATATATGTAAACAGTCCCCCCAAAGAAAAGACTTATATGTACTTTTTTATTTTCTATTAATTGATAAAAAGGATCGTATCAATTTTATAGTATGATTTTTTTATGTAAATTCTTAAAGATATTTATTATAAAATATAGAAATAATTACACCAAATCTCCTTAACTACTAGCAAAAATCATTTTATTTTCCTTATTTATGAATTCGTACATTTTAAAACATTACTTTCACCACTCCAAAAGTGACATATGTACGGTTTATTATTATTGTGTGGATCAAAATATGGATTTATAGATAAAGAAAGTAAAATAGTATTAGTTATTAGTTAAGATAATTTTGATTTAATCAACTCTAGAATATATACATTGTGCATACCTTATCTCCCACCCCCTCTAATGACCCCAAAATGCATATCATGATTATATTAATTTAATTATGTGTTTAATTTTAATTGTGATATGTGACATGTGTGATTTGAATTGTGTTACTGTTAACAGATGTGTATAGTATATGAATTGAACCTGTCTGAATCAGTAATTTATACAAGATTAAAAGTAAATATTTGGAAAGGTACTTAAAGCCTAATTCACATTAGTATGATTAAGTTTAGTTTAAGTTAAATTAGATTTTTGATGATTTAATTGAGAACATCATGTGATTTAAATTTAATTTATATTAATTATTAAATCTAATTAAGTATAATATTAAATTAGTGATTAAATACATTTCTACTCATCAATGCAAATAAAGAAAAGAGAAGCTAAGTGAGAGGAGTAGCTTTTGTTAGAAGACATAACCTAGAGAAAGGAATTCAAGAATGAGAGAAGAGTTTTAGGAAGACTTTGGAGACCAAACTACAAGTTTCAAAAATTATCAATTCAAGGTAGAAGTTGTTGGGAAAAATGATTTTTGGAGACTTTAATTTAATATTAAAGTGTGGTGACTTTAATTAAATATTAAAGTGGGTCCTAATCATTTTTTGTGTTAGGTCCAAGTGAGCCAAAAATCATTGGGTTTTGAATAAGAAATTGCCAAGAAATTGCTTCATGATGTTAGATTCATAAATAGGATTTTAAAGAGTATTTAAATCTTTTTTCTTGGCTAAAGGGTGTGAATTCTTTGGGCATCCATACTTTTCATTTTGTGGAAAGGGGCTATGGATGCTTGGTGTTTTAATGACTAGCCTTAAAGGCTGGAGGCTTTTCCTCTCTCCCCTATACATATATAAATTGAGACCCTCCTGTCAAGTTTCAATATAGAAATTTTTGCTTCCATTTTACAAGTCAGTTTGCTTGATAGTTCCTATTGTGAGAGAGTGCTGCCATTGTTTTGTTCGCTAAGCTAGACAGATAGTGTTTCTGCCGTATGAAATTTAGTTGTAATTATCAGCATATGTTCTTGGTATATAATTTGTTTTCTTCATAAATCTATTTATTTAATTTCACAATTTTGAACAACAAGCTTAAAACAGATTTTATATATCTTTTCTATGAAATTGATCGAATAGATTTATATAGACTATTGGGTTAGCTTTGTATAATGTTACTAGGAATTGTTGCGGAATTGCTCACTATTTCAATAATTGTAAATTATGCAATGGTACTCTCTAATTGCTTAGTTTAATTAGAATGCTCTATTATAATTTGCATACTTAATTGTATTAGTATGATCTTGTTTTATGCGTATGGTTCATCATTTCCCTACCACCATTTGCATGAATTTTAAGGTTATAAAATATAATTTATAGATGTTGCAATTTTGACATGCTAATTCTGTTCTAGTCTCAATTTGTTACATGCTTATTATTTTCTAGGCTAGATTACATAATTTAATGTATTTGGAGTTATAGAGTTTTATGAATTGTGTACATGATTAATCTAAATTATCTAATTGTGTGCATTAATATGAATTATTTAATTGGGTGCATTAATCTAAATTATCTAATTTGGTGCATTAATCTGAGTTATTTAATTAGGTGCATTGATCTAAATTATTTATTTGGGTGCATTAATCTAAATTATTTAATTAGGTGCATTAATCTGAATTATTAATTGGGTGCATTAACTTTGAATTTGACTTATTTATTTGGAGTTATTAGTTTAAATGTTTATTATGAATTAATTTCATTCATGACTCATGAGTATCGAACTTTATTTTAAAGTTGTAATTTAATTTTGAAGTTACAAATTGTATTTTGTTTTGGTACCTTATATTAGTTGGTTACTTATATAATTAATAGTTGGCTAGATGGTTTCAATTATTTATTATAATTAAATTTTTTAGATTATTTGTTTGTATTTTGTTGTGGTTTGCTACTAACTTTCTTTGTAGGAATACCAATGCGAAAAACAAATATAAAACCAAATGAATAGAATTTGGGATGTAAAAACAAAAATGTTTGAAGCATGTTTTGCTTGAGATGTAATTGATTTGTTTACCAATTTGTAGTAGCAAGTTTTATTTGCTTATATTGTTGTAGCAATGGTTTTACATTGCTTGTAAAAGTTTTGGACCCGGGTTTGCTTTAACCTAGTTCATCCCTAAAAAAATTTAATTCTTAATTTGTTTATCACGGACTAGGAGTCAACATGCTCTTAAAAGTTTTGTCAAAAGGTTAACTGGGTTTTAAGTGGGACCGATGTGACTCCTCCAGTCTTCCTGGAAACTTTCTTGACCATGTTCGATTCTAGGTTTTGTGGTGAGACTAATTTTTAATTAATTTTTCTTCTAAGGGATTTTCTAAGGGTTAAGTTTAATTTCTGGAAACACAGAAGTGATATTCTGGTGTAATTTTCAGAAATGGAAACTATCACTGATGTTGCTGCTACCGCTAATGTTAGTGGAGATTTGAACCCCGGGGTAACTGGATTGCCAACCCCTACTGCTGTGACCTCTGTGGTCAACCCTGGTGTTACTCTGGCTATTCCGGGAGGACCGCTTAGTCACCATGAGCGCCCAGAAAAATTTGCTGGGGAAAACTTTAAGAAATGGCAGCAAAAGATGCTGTTTTACTTGACCACGCTAAACCTTGCCAAGGTTCTGAGTGAGGATCCTCCAGCCGCGGCAGAGAATGAGCCTGACAGGCAGAAAGTCATGGCTCTTGACACATGGAAGCAGACAGACTATCTTTGCCGGAACTATGTGTTCAACAGCTTGGCAGACTCACTCTATAGTGTGTTTTGTTCCAAGAGCTCAGCAAAAGAATTATGGGAATCTCTGGACAAAAAGTACAGGACTGAGGATGTCGAGGCAAAGAAATTTGTGGTTGGCCGTTTCCTGGATTTTAAAATGGTAGATTCTAAAATTGTGATAAGCCAAGTCCAGGAGTTCCAAGTGATCTTGCATGAAATTCATGCTGAGGGGATGCCTTTGAACGAGTCATTCCAAGTTGCTGTGATCATTGAAAAACTTCCCAATGGTTGGAAGAATTTCAAGAATTACTTGAAGCACAAGCGTAAGGAAATGTCTGTTGAAGAGCTGGTTGTCCGACTCCGGATTGAAGAGGATAATAGAAAGAAAGGAGGGAGTACATCCTCAGTAAAAGCCAATGTCATTGAACATGGCAAATCTTCTGGAATAAGAAAGAAGCCCTCTAAGTTGGGGCCTAGAGGTGGTGTTGCAAAGAAGCCGGCTTACAAGCCACCGGAACCAAGTAATCGGTTCTTTGGGAAGTGCTATAACTGTGGTAACGAGGGGCATCGGGCTAGTGACTGCCGCAAGCAGAAGAAGCCATACAAGACCAAACCTCATGCTCATATGGCAGACTTACAAGAGCACTCCCATGAGAAGGATGATTTGCACTTGTCTGCCGTTGTCTCTGAGGTGAATTTGGTGGGTTCAAACCCAAGAGAATGGTGGATTGATACTAAGGCTACACGCCACATCTACTCCGAGCAGAAACTGTTTACAACTTTCGAACCGGTTACAAACGGTGAGAAGTTGTTTATGGGAAACTCTGCTACCTCGATTGTTGAGGGGAAAGGAAAGGTGGTCCTGAAGTTGACGTCAGGAAAGGAGCTGACCTTGAACGAAGTCCTGTATGTTCCGGACTTTCGTAAAAATCTTGTCTCAGGGTCTCTTCTTAGTAAACATGGTTTTCGCATGGTTTTTGAGTCCGACAAGGTCGTTTTGACCAAAAGCGAAATGTATGTGGGTAAGGGTTATATGTTGGGGGGTATGTTTAAACTCAATGTAATGACTATTATCCCAAAGATGAATAAAGATGCATCTTCTTCTGAGGAACTATAGCTCGAGCGAAGGATGAACTAACTCGCTCGAGCGAAGAAAAGCTCGCTCAAGCCAAGAAT